ACTACTGTGGGGCTAGGAGCCACACTACTGTGGGGCTAGGAGCCACACTACTGTGGGGCTAGGAGCCACACTACTGTGGGGCTAGGAGCCACACTACTGTGGGGCTAGGAGCCACACTACTGTGGGGCTAGGAGCCACACTACTGTGGGGCTAGGAGCCACACTACTGTGGGGCTAGGAGCCACACTACTGTGGGGCTAGGAGCCACACTACTGTGGGGCTAGGAGCCACACTACTGTGGGGCTAGGAGCCACACTACTGTGGGGCTAGGAGCCACACTACTGTGGGGCTAGGAGCCACACTACTGTGGGGCTAGGAGCCACACTACTGTGGGGCTAGGAGCCACACTACTGTGGGGCTAGGAGCCACACTACTGTGGGGCTAGGAGCCACACTACTGTGGGGCTAGGAGCCACACTACTGTGGGGCTAGGAGCCACACTACTGTGGGGCTAGGAGCCACACTACTGTGGGGCTAGGAGCCACACTACTGTGGGGCTAGGAGCCACACTACTGTGGGGCTAGGAGCCACACTACTGTGGGGCTAGGAGCCACACTACTGTGGGGCTAGGAGCCACACTACTGTGGGGCTAGGAGCCACCACCCACACTACTGTGGGGCTAGGAGCCACCACCCACACTACTGTGGGGCTAGGAGCCACCACCCACACTACTGTGGGGCTAGGAGCCACCACCCACACTACTGTGGGGCTAGGAGCCACCACCCACACTACTGTGGGGCTAGGAGCCACCACCCACACTACTGTGGGGCTAGGAGCCACCACCCACACTACTGTGGGGCTAGGAGCCACCACCCACACTACTGTGGGGCTAGGAGCCACCACCCACACTACTGTGGGGCTAGGAGCCACCACCCACACTACTGTGGGGGCTAGGAGCCACCACCCACACTACTGTGGGGGCTAGGAGCCACCACCCACACTACTGTGGGGGCTAGGAGCCACCACCCACACTACTGTGGGGCTAGGAGCCACCAGCAACACTACTGTGGGGCTAGGAGCCACCACCCACACTACTGTGGGGCTAGGAGCCACCACCCACACTACTGTGGGGCTAGGAGCCACCACCCACACTACTGTGGGGCTAGGAGCCACCACCCACACTACTGTGGGGCTAGGAGCCACCACCCACACTACTGTGGGGCTAGGAGCCACCACCCACACTACTGTGGGGCTAGGAGCCACCAGCCGTGACTCAGGCTCACGAATCATGGCACAGTTTGTGTGGGGTGTTAGTGGCGTGATTCTATTTTTTTCCCTCGTGAAACTCGCTAAAAAATGACTAGACGAGCTAAGCAATTAAATCCCGCCCCGGAATGGGAAATTGGCAATAAATCTCCCGTTGTGGATTATTAATCCGGCTTAGTTTTGTGAGCGTGTTGTGGTGAGGTGGTGTTGTACTTACATAGTTGTGCTTGCGGGGGTTGAGCTCTGGCTTTTTGGTCCCGCCTCTCAACTGTCAATCAACTGGTGTACAGGTTCCTGAGCCTATTGGGCTCTATCATATCTACACTTGAAACTGTGTATGGAGTCAGCCTCCACCACATCACTGCCTAATGGATTCCATCTGTTAACTACTCTAATGGACCCATTATGCGATAAACACCATCAATACATTCGATATAACAAATACAGTCACTGAGAGAGGTGTCGACGACATACATGCAGACTTTGTTATACAAGCCCCTTGGGAATCTCTGCCAGCAGACTTTAATATTATGGTTCTTGAAGGAAAAAAGAACCGGACAAATCCTCATCTGCTACGTAACATTGCACAGATGCATATAGAAGCAAACATGGCATCCGACAGCTTCACTTACTTCACAGATGGATCAGTAGACCAGCAGGGACAAGAAACCGGAGGTGCAGTTAAAGCAGGAAACTCTGTAAACAGTTGGAGACTATAAAATGGGTGTTCGACTTTACATACATAGATCCTAGCCATTCAAAAGGCTTTGGAATATGCTCATCCTGAACACCGACAACATGTTATCATACATACAGATTCAAGAATTGTCATTGAAACCTTGCAACAAGAATACATACGTGAACACAGCACTGTGGAGAAATGCCCGACAGACCACTGGAACATTATCAAACACAGTGCATAGTTACAAACCTATTAAGATTTCAACTAGCTTTAACAGAAGAAGAAGAAGTTGATAAACACATTATCTCCCACATGATACCTTGCTCCTGGCCTCCTGCTCCCTACACCTATCTTCCTTACTTTACATTTAATTGGGTTAAACTCTAGTTTGTTGGACAATTACTTCAGTTTGTTGAGGTCTTCTTGAAACCTCATGCTGTCCTCTGTCCTCTCTCTAGATGTGTTACAAGGTTTTTTCTCGCGATCTTCTCCATCACCTTGCATGGTTTACAAGTTAACGATACTGGCCTGTAGTTCAGTACCTCTTGTTTGTCACCCTTTTTGTATATTGGGACTACATTAGCCGTCTTCTATATTTCTGGTAGGTCTCCCGTCTCCAGTGACCTACTACACCATGGAAAGTGGCAAGCAAAGTGCTTCTGCACTCTCTTTCAGTACCCATGGTGAAATTCCGTCCAGCCCAACAGCCATTCTCACGTTCAGATCCAACAGATGCCTCTTGACCTCATTTCTGGTAATTTCGAACCCAAGACCGCCTGGTTTACTGCCATCCCTCCTAGCTCAAGGACTTCACCTCGTTCTATTGTGAAGACTTCCTGGAATCTCTTGAGTTTTCCACACACCTCTTTGTCTTTCTCTGTGTATCTGTCCTCACTCATTCTCGGCTTCATCACCTGTTCTTTCACTGTTGTTTTCCTCCTGATGTGACTGTGGAGCCGTTCTGGTTCCGTCTAGTGTTCGCTGGACCAGACGTTGTTCGGTCGTTCGCTGGACCAGAAGTTGCTCGGTCGTTCGCTGGACCAGACGTTGTTCCGTCGTTCGCTGGACCAGACGTTGTTCGGTCGTTCGCCGGACCAAACGTTGTTCGGTCGTTCGCCGGACCAAACGTTGTTCGGTCGTTCGCCGGACCAAACGTTGTTCGGTCGTTCGCCGGACCAGACGTTGCTCGGTCGTTCGCCGGACCAGACGTTGCTCGGTCGTTCGCCGGACCAGACGTTGCTCGGTCGTTCGCCGGACCAGACGTTGTTCCGTCGTTCGCTGGACCAGATGTTGTTCGGTCGTTCGCCGGACCAGACGTTGTTCGGTCGTTCGCCGGACCAGACGTTGTTCGGTCGTTCGCCGGACCAGACGTTGTTCGGTCGTTCGCCGGACCAAACGTTGTTCGGTCGTTCGCCGGACCAAACGTTGCTCGGTCGTTCGCCGGACCAGACGTTGCTCGGTCGTTCGCCGGACCAGACGTTGCTCGGTCGTTCGCCGGACCAGACGTTGCTCGGTCGTTCGCCGGACCAGACGTTGTTCCGTCGTTCGCTGGACCAGACGTTGTTCGGTCGTTCGCCGGACCAGACGTTGTTCGGTCGTTCGCCGGACCAGACGTTGTTCGGTCGTTCGCCGGACCAGACGTTGTTCGGTCGTTCGCCGGACCAAACGTTGTTCGGTCGTTCGCCGGACCAAACGTTGCTCGGTCGTTCGCCGAACCAGACGTTGCTCGGTCGTTCGCCGGACCAAACGTTGCTCGGTCGTTCGCCGGACCAAACGTTGTTCGGTCGTTCGCCGGACCAAACGTTGCTCGGTCGTTCGCCGGACCAAACGTTGCTCGGTCGTTCGCCGGACCAAGCGTTGCTCGGTCGTTCGCCGGACCAAGCGTTGCTCGGTCGTTCGCCGGACCAGACGTTGTTCCGTCGTTCGCCGGACCAGACGTTGTTCCGTCGTTCGCTGCCAGATGTTGTCTTGGGAATATAGGCGGGTTG